CCCCCCCCCCCCCCCCCCCCCAGTTTCTCCTTTTAATTTCCATAGTGCTCACTGAAAATCCTGCACAGGGCTGAAAGACCATTTGAAGCAGCTGTCCTGCTCCTCATGCACTACTAGTGCATTAGTCCCTTTGGGAGGGAACATGGTTCCTCAGGACAATTAGTAGATTCAGAAATAGGAATGAGAATTCATGGGATCCGAGATCTAAGAAGGTCAGACCTCCTGGATGTCTGCAGTGGCCACTCCTCAAATACACCAGGAAATACACCAGGGAGGTCCACCAAACATTGAGAATTTTTCCATTTCCCATTAAAATCATAAATATCAAAGTCTGAATGCAGAAAAAAGCACTTTCAAGTACAAAAATACCCACCAAAGCCAATCACTCTGTCTGAGATGTTACTAGACAAAAATAGCAAAGGGTAGGGTTACAAGGGACTGAGCCTTCATAGACTCGCATGAATGAGCTAGAATGTAAGCTGCAGTGGATGCTAATGAATTCAGCACTCATAGAGTGCTTTCTCCTGGTCCACAAAAACATGCAGTAGTATCTCAGAAACACTGCAAGATAACATTCAAGTTGGATAATGGGAAAAGCTTCTTCCCAGAAGAGTGGATGGGCTTTGGGCTCAGGCTGCCCAGGGAGGCGGTGGAGTCACCGTCCAAGAACTGTGGAGATGTGGCACTGAGGGATGCGGTTTAATGGGAAATAGTGATGGTATGTGGACAGTTGGACTACATGATCTTAGAGGTCTTTTCCAATCTTAACAATTCTATGATAACCAAAACCAGTGAAAGGACCTAGAGTTATTGGAAGATATGAAGGGTATTTGGTGATTTGGCCAGATGCGTTGGTTAATGGCAGGAGCTTCTTCAACTGTTTTGGCCACTAGGCAAACCTGCAAAAATCCTCTGTCCATGGCTTTGCCATTTTTATCACCCAGCTGTGGACATCTTTGTGCCAAAAATCATTATACCTAATGAGTCACTCTGGTCTACTGCTTGCTGACTTCTGCCAGCTGAGATGTTAAGAAAGAGCCTTCACTTCACACTTCAATCTGAAAGGACACAGTACCACTGCAAACAGCATGAAACCAGCCCACTGTATCACAAGTTTCTGTGATGGCTTTGTAACAACTCTCGTACTGTTCAGAGATCACTATCAGCAACCAAGAAATCTACTGAGATTTCTGGCCAGGAACGCCTTCAAAGTGTATGAAGGTTTGAATGAGGACATGCACTTCACTTGTTCATTTCCTAAATAGAACTTGGGCATTAATTCTAAGTGCAATGCAACAAAGAACTAAATGCAGAGAGGTTTCACATGCACAACTCTCACTCTCAAAAGTGGCCCAAGGACAGAATGCACCAGAGATGTCTGTGACTAAAGCACATTATTCTCAGTGGGCCTTAAGAACCCATAGAGATTATTTGCTGTTCCCATACCAGTCCAGATTTATTTGGGATCAGTAGGGACATCAACATAATTAGTGCACAGTAGACAGCACAGAGCCACAGTATTGTTGATCTTTTTCTAGACAGAATGCAAAATATAAATCAAGGTATTTTTTGATCATTACAAATCCTAAATGAATTGAATGAAAAAAATCCTACTCAGTGACAGGTTCATGATTGATGTTAGAATTAAGGCTCATGAATTTCTAATCTGAGATGGATTTGTTAAGATTTCTTTAATATTTTCTGCACAAAATGTGTTCAAAATTAAGAATGCATTTTTCTGAATACATTTGGAAACAATTCAGTATTTTAAGATGACTCCATTGCAAGAGGAAAAATATCTAAAAGGTACTCTTGTATTTTAAACAATAACACCTGCTTTTTAAATCATTCTGGCTTCTCAGTTCATTCTCCTTAACTGAGAGACCTCAAAGCAACCCTGAAAAGGCAGAACACAACATATTTTCATGTAGAAAACCGATTCTGATTTCTGTTGTGCTGTAGCCAACAAGTAGATTTATAGCAATTATTCTCCCTATCAGAACTAACAAAGCCTTCCATTTTTTCTTCCTTTTAAGTAAGTCCAAAAGTTGATTTTATGAATGAGACTGCAAAGAGAAGAACACTCAGTAAAACCGGACAATACAGCTTCACTGGCAAAGCTCACACTGCTTTATTGCTGAGCATGTCCTACCAGTCTGCAAGATCTTCAATTCTTCACCAATTAAACTGTGCATTTTACAAAGCAGCAATCAAGAAATTTGCACCACCATATTAGAGAACCATTGTAAGTTTAAAGGTGAAACAGGCAGTAATGTTGATTTCAGCAGGTTAGAAGAGAACTAAGTTCTGGAGAAATTTATCACCAAGCAGATCATAGTCTGTTTTGCAGAAATACTTCAGTTATTTTTATAGAGATATGCACTTACAATTTTATATGTGTATTTGCAAATGTCACGTGCACACAAACATGTATGTAAATATATATCTATCTATGTGTACATGAAACCCCAAACTTGAACTAAATTAAATTGTCCCTCCAGCTTTGTAATGCAAATGAGACTTGTGCTGTTTGTGGTTCAAGATGATTTGCGTTTCCATAGAGATGCCGACTGAACTGAAGTTTTTAATTTTTTATATGTATAAGCCTATTTGTATCTACACAAGTCTAAATACGTATCTGCTATAGCTCAGCATTTCTCCAGTGACTCCAGTGGAAGCACACCAATTTACACCAGTTAAGGCTATGTGCAAATTTCATACCTCTCACTAGTTTTCAATCTAAGCTCTGTACCAGGCACCTGCAGAGTTGACTTTATTGCTTTTCTCCTCACTTCTTGGTAAGGAAAGGGGAAAAACTCATAAACAGTATTTCAAGGAGTTTTCATTTATTATCCTGCCCTGGCCAGCGCTGCGTTCACCGCCTCCCCACGTGGGCTTGGTGTCTTGGCCCTCAGGTGCAGCCAAACCCCGTCATACAGAAGGATCACACAAAGCTGAGGCCCTACAAGCCCCCCGAGCCACATTTGAGGTGACCACCCAAAGTGACATGGGCCGGCCCATGCTGACATCTGGGCAGAGAAACCAAGCAATTTAACTTTGGTTGGTATCTCCTTTGGTTTATAAGGCCCAAACACACATAGAAGTGATTGGATGCCACTTGCCTTGCTGCCACCTGAGAGGGAAATCAGAGCACCCACAGCACCACGTGAGAACTCATTTCCATGTGGTTTTTCAGTGATAAGTGATTTTTAAACAGTGACGCACAAGAGGTCAACCTCCAGAATTGCTCTGAACCACAACCAAAAACAGTGCCTTCTGTATCTCCTATCTACATAAGATGAACAAATTCTCCAATGAGCCAAAGATGCCCATGAGCACTCAGAGGAAACATTGACTCCCATTTGATCCTGGGAGAGCCCTGAAGGAAAGACCCAAGCGCACACAGACATACTGCTGACGATTATATCGTGTGAGGGCATGTTGCAGGGATGGAGCTGCTCCCACCCCGCAGGGTGAGCTCCTGCAATAACACCAACACTGCTGCCTTACCCTCTGAGGCTGACTTAAGTTGTAAGCCCCCAAAAGCTTATTTCCAAGCCGCAGGAGAGCTCCCTGTTTCCGAAAGCCACATGGAGGGAGGCTACTTTCTGTATTCTTCTCCATTTGCTTCCCTTGTCAAACAAAGGTGTGGCTTACGCACCTATCATCCCACTGATTTCCACAGCAAGCAGTGAAAGAGCCAACCAGCAAGGTCTGAAAACCTTGGCCAGCCTCCCGATGTAGGCATGGAGACATGGGGCAGAAGACATGAGTTGCAGTGACCCCGCTGCTCATGTGCCCTCAGCCCTGGCCCTACTGGAAAAAAAGCTGTAGCTGCTTGGGATCCACGCAGTGCCATCTAATCCCATGTGTTGCCTTTGAAGAAGGCTCTTGCACTGCCGCCAGGAATCACAGAATGGCTAGGGTTGGAAGAAACCTCAAAGATCATCAAGTTTCGACTCCATGCTGTGGGCACAGTCGCCAACTGCTAGATCAAGAACCAGCTCAGACTGCCCATGGTCCCATCCAGCCTAGCCTTGAGCACCTCCAGGGATGGGGCACTCACAGCTTCCCCGGACAGCCTGTGCCAGCACCGCACCAATCTCTCTGTGTAAGGGTGACCAACGAGCGCTGACATCTCCTACCTTTTGCTGCAGTGGCTGCGGAGCCAGCACTGGGTCCGTGATGTAGGTCTTCTTTGTGCCAGGAGGCTGGTACAGCCCAGAAGGAGCCTGGCCCACGGTGTTACCGCTAGGATATGCTGGCTCAACCTTCCAGGCACTCTGCGGCACGTAGGGCGCTTCAGAGCCATTCCTCCCTCCATATCCGCCGTAATACGGGTCCTGGTAGCGGCTTTGTTGAGGTGCATAGCCATAGCTGGGCTCTGAAGGACGGGCAGGCGGTGGGGCATAACCGTAGTCGGGCCCACGGTGCTGTGGTGAGCCATACTGCTGGGCACCGGGCGGGCGGGCCGGTGGGGCTGCATAGGGCTGGCCGGGCCCCAGGCTGCCATAGTGCGTGGGCTGCGGGCCGGGCGGCTGGTAGTGAGGGCTGGGCTGCGCCGTCCTCACCTGGACGTTGAAGGTCGGGCGGCTGGGTGTGGAGGCTGTGGTGTAGGAAGCCGGAACCGGCTGAGGCTTCAGGGTGCCGATGGGCGTGACTGGGATGGGTGCCGGCTGGCCAGGCCCTTTGGCAGTGGACTTCTTGGTGGCGGTAAGGGGAGGTTGGTTGGGAATGATCATCCGCTTGTGGCCGGTGACGGGGGTGGACACAGACGGGGTGGTGGCAGCGGAGCTGGAGGTCCCGGAGCCCTAAGAGTGAACAAAGAGCCGCAGTGTCAACAGGATGGTTCATTCAGCTTTGGGTCTAAAGAAGAAGGGTTAAGAGGGAACAGGGTCTTACAGTAACATCTGCACAGCAACTCAAACTGCTTAGGGAAGCAGGAATGCACCTTAAACTATGCATTATAAAATGGTAATAACAACCTTTTCCTGCTCTGACAGAACAGGGACAGCGCTGCTGCAGTCGAGCAGAACTGCCAGCCAGCGCGGCATCTCTCCTTGGGGTTTCTTCCTGCACCTCAGAACAAACTCCAAAGCAATAAATGTAGGAAGAAAAAGAAGATTTGCAGGAGAATATTTAGCATGGCTAAATACGCGTTCATGTGGAAATGAGAGCACTCAAGAAGAAGAAAAATGCGATTTAAGTCTCTATGGAGACATGCAATTCTCCAGAGTGTACAGCTGCTGATACAGGGCTGCTTCTGACAGCATAGGACAGCAAAACAGGATGGCCTGAAACCTCTGCTTGGAAAGAAGTGTAACACAGAAGTGTCCCTGGCACTGCTCTCAAGCCCTGAAAGTCTCAAGTGACCCCAGCAAAATGTTACAGGTGGCACATGGAAGGGCAGAAAGCAGGTTAAGATTCCTAAGGGCTTCAGAAATCTGATCCTGCGTAACCCTGCACCAGCATCCAGGCCTCACAGCAAGCGCTACCACATCTTGGGACTTGGCAACTAAGTGAAGATGTAGCTGAATAAGTATCTTACATCTTCCTGTCTAATGTACTTGTTTGTTTTTCTCACCCAACTTTATTGTTCAGCCCCATATCCAAAAATACTGGTGTGAAAATACAGCTTTGTTTAAGAGTTAACAGTAAGAAATGGTTTCTGAAGATCATCATTAAATCTTTTCACTAAATCAAAGAAGAACAAAATTCTACTCCTAGACTTTGGGATTTGGTAAAATATCTGGCCTCTCTTTATTTTGTTGTATCCTTAAAAGAGTCCTTGAGTTCCATCTCTTCCCATACAGTTAAGAATTAAAAGCAACATGAACAGTCTGATGGAATTCCTTTGCTGTTGCACTTAGCATGATGGTTATATCTTATGTAAGCTTTCTGCAGTGGACTCAATCTCACCCAATCCTCTCAGTAACCTGGCAAGTTCAAGGGAGCCCTAAATCAGACGAGCTCATCTCATGCCCATGGCAGTGCTCAAACTAAAGCACACATCTCTTTTCCTTAAATGATCAGTTCCTGTATCTGTCCCAAGGTATTCTTGCTCTATGCAGACACTCTGGTCTGCAAGCTCTGCTTCATCTCCCTCTTGCTGGACCTGCTAGGCAGGGAACTGAGTGGTGGGGGCTCAGCAGGGGCATCAGAGAAATCCTCTGCCTGGTCAGCAGGTGGCGGCAAGAAATTGCTGCCAAACCAGCTCAGGCCAGTGGCTGGAGAGGACCTTCAAACACCCAACAGACTGAGCCTCCCAGGTTAGCAAATCACCACCCAGGCGGCAGCCACCACACATGAAGGGAGATAAGAGCAAACCACTCAGCTTCTCCTCCACAGCCCACAAAAATGTCTATCAAGTGATAAGGAAGCTCTACTACACAACTGGTAGCTCTTCCCTGGTGACAGGTGCAAAGATGTTTTTGCTGACGCGCTGGTGAAGAACTTACTCCTGCAATCACACCTTCAGGGCAAACCTCCCACAAAGAATGAACAAAACAACAGGCAAATAAGAGCATCAAGCTTGTTTTAGAGATGTAAAAGGTATGCATGCAGAGGTGGGGAAAAACAGGCAGCATAGTTCTGCTAGAGAAAAAAAATCTTAATGTAGTCAAACCCTGACTTCACAAACAGATCCATGACAAGGCAATAGATAGAAGAGATTTTGAAACTGAGAAGAATGGAGAGCTGAAGTGTATCTAGGCTTAACTGCAAGGGCAGAGGCAAGTTAAGGGTCTGTAGCCCTTCATTAGTATTGCCCAATTTTTCTGTTCCCGAAACACCTGGTGTGGAGCAGGCATCCCTCTACCTCTTCAGAGCACAACTGCACCAGTGCTCAGTGCTAGCAAGAAAATTTACTTCTTGAAGCAATTATTCCCTCATGTCAGCTTGGCATTTAGTCCAGGAGTGGTAGAAACTTTCCCATTTCCTCACCTAGTTCATTCTTGTAAATGACAGTAGTTTGTCCACTTACTGTAATGGGATGAAAGGTCCACAATGCAGCACAGTGTAATTACCACCAGAAGAGCTTTTTTTTTTTCCTCCAGTGTGAACAGGGAGAAAGTAGATAATGTTTTAATGACAAGGGCACATCAGTGGGGAACAGGAAAGCCCAAAACAAAACATAATTCAGCTCTGTTTATCACATCTTATGTTTCTGAATGCAGACTCTGAAAGCAGATTATGACAGATTCCCAGTAAAACTCTCACTATAGAAGACTGTTCCACCAAGAACTGGTGGATTTCATCCTTGCATTGTTAGCATCCAGATAAAATATTTCACGTGTTGGTGTCAGTCTCCTGACAGAACTGGAACACGCCTTAGGAGTGATAACCCCTTCCTCCAAAATAACCTTTGATACCTATAGAACAGTACTCTGAGGGGATCTGAGCAACTTTCACACCCCACACCAACAAGATGTGCTGAGTCTCCCATCTTGCACAGGAGCCCAAATGACAGAAGGCACCAAGGTGGTCCTTGGGCCAGAGACCCAGCACTGCCAACACCATCATGGCAAAGGTTGGAGCTCAAAAGCACCGGCTGCATTGTGGCATTCAAACCGCAGTCAGCCTTGAGGAGGAGGAAGTTTGCATCAGTAGGAGTCCCCAGGGGCACCATGACTGACTCATTCTGAATTCCTCTGAGGGTGCTGGGCAAGTTTGTAATGAAAGCCTGGCTTGAGGGGGAGGAGGAGGGTGCAATGCTAGTTAATGTGGTGTAGAATTCAACACCTCTGGAACACTAATGATCTAGGGGGACACAAAGAGTAACATTGGCTGTAAGTCTTGAATAAGGGCACAGGTGAGGTATCACCATAAACCTCTGCTCTTTTGCTTGGGAGACAAGGGTGGCCACAGTCCAGCCTTCTGTATGGACTCAGATATCATCCCACACTTACACTTCTAGATTGTAAATTGATTAAGAAAAGACACTACAAATGCACATGAGCTATGGACAAGGCACGTGCAGAAGAATGAGAAAATGGCACTCAGACCCCACAAGGAAGAGCGATTTCAACAGCTGTCTGTTAGGTGCCAGGATAGGAGAGACTGATGAGGCTATAAGGATACCAGGTAGATGAAGAGGGAGTAATGAACAGAAAGCTGGAAAGGACTACCTATGTCACTGGGTACAGTCCCAGCAATGACTGTCACAAACATTTCATCCAAACGAGTCCACAGAACAACTACTAGTGCAACAAAGTAGACTCATCCAAAAGCACATCGAAGTGACAGTTCAGAGGCATAAAAGCAAGGAGAAAAAGGATGAAGGAAAAGCAGGAAGAGAGGATTCACAGGAGTTCAGGCATCCCTTCCTTCAGCAGCTCCTGGACAGCTCATTTCAAAGCTGCACTGCATTTGCAAATGACTAACACACAGCCAAACACGCTCCCTGACATCCTCTAAGGACTGTTCTCAAAGGAAGACAGGCTTTCCTCTGCTCGCCGTGCATTAGGTGAAACTGTCTGACACACTTCGCAAGTGCAAATTAGAACCACGCCACTTACCATCAGCCCATTCTTGCAAATTCATATTTGCAAAGAGAGCAAACTAGAAACCCCAGGTGCTGATAAGGCAGAGTTGTTAAGAGAAACCAGAGTAGGAAGGAGTTAAATTCAGAACCTCAACTACCACAAGTATTATACTACAAATTTTTTTTTTTTTTAATGGGGAAAGCACAAGAGCCTTGTTTAAATACAGATGGAAGTACCTAAATGCACTGCCTCTTCTACAAATGAATTACCCAGCAGTTCAAATAAAGGTGAACTAACACTAACTGACAAAATCAAGTAGAACTCAATGAATGCGGGAGGAAAAACCCCCGATAACGCTTCTCCTAAATAAAGTTACCATGCGTAACTGTGAGGGGAATCACTTTGCTTGGTGACTCTTGCCCCATCTACGTGAATGCAGTGACAGTTTATAAACAACTTGCAAGACTTTCTTGTACCAACCACCGTATGAGAAAGTCTGCGCCACTATCACATACTCAAGCTTTTCAAGGGACCTGGCTGTCAAAGTTGGAGATCTGAATTCAAAGCTGCCTTGGTGGAGAAACCTAAAGTTCAGATTATCTGTATGAATCTTCATTCCGTGGAAATTATTTAAATAGATCTTAAATCTCATTCAGCATATATATACAACAAAAAGGTTATTAAACAGGTACTAGAAATGAAACATTGTTCTACCAAAATTAGTCTTTAATTCTGTACCATTTGTCGGGGTTAAATCTCAAAGAGAACAAAGTAACTGCAGTCTACATTAGGAGTATGACTCTGTATGATCAGCTGGAAGCCTTATGAAAAGGACTCTCCCTTTATTTTGTGTATTAGTATTTTCTATAGTCCCTTCAGTTACTCAGTTTCACAGATCTGTTCCAAAATGCCTACACAAAGTTTATCACATTCTATTCAATTCTCCAGGCACTTTTCATAAAGGTACAGTTGAATAGCTCTAGCTCTTTAGCTGTCAAATTATCACTTATAAAGATACATTACTCCAGCTCAGTGGTTTTCAACCTTTATGCTCTGCAGCCCCCAAATGCCTTTCAGGAGGGACGAGCTCCTTCACACACAGAGTTAATCTACTGACAATAAACACAGGTTTTTTTAAAGTTACCTTTCACAGAATTCTTCTTAGTTCCCTTAGGAGTGATCCACGGACCCCCAGGGTTTGCGAGCACAAGTTGAGAACCAGTGCTCTAAGCTAAGGCTGCCTTTTTCAAGCATTTCAGCCACAATTTACTCTATGAGAGACAACCCCGTTCCTCAAAAGGCAGAAACCTGGCAGCTACAGGCGGGCT